ATTGGTTAGCCGGAAGCTGTACCGCGGTGCGTGAGTATTCGTTGCACGATCACCACAGAGACCAAATCAGGTCGAAACAGCTGTCCAGAGCTTCCTAGATTTTCAGTTCACGCTTCATTTGCTATATACACGACGAATTCTCATTTGAAATCAATCATCTAATTCAGTGCTGACCTTAGCTACTGAATGCTCTACACCTTTCATTAATGATCCGCTTCCATCGCGGCACATCAATAATGCTACCAACCTGCCTGTGCTCAAACATTGATCTTAGTGTAACTGTGACACATCATGGCTACACTTCACGTTATCTTGAGTAAAAAAAAATGGTATCAAGCCGATAGCAAAAACGAACCATGGTGACCAATGTAAAACCGGATTTTTATCATGCATTTTTAACCGAAATCCTGTCAAATGAAGATCGCAGCATGGGATTAACTAATCATCTGAGGTAACTTTTGGATAGATGTGTATTGGATGAGATAACAGCAAGTTGGTCATTGCCGAGTGAAACTGGTTTTAATAAGGTTTGAAACCTAGGATTATTGAATAACAGGTGATTCTGTCCTTCAAACCAGATGGAAAATGGTTACTCTATCAGAAGCGTTACCAACTGGGTGATCCAATGCGAACGCATACCCGGTTATCTAATGGACATTGCACGCCGATTATAGGAACAGTGATGACGTTGATAAAAGATGGATTCGTTGCCGTTCGGCTTATACTTCACACACTTCTGACGCCAGACTGTGTGCTAAACAATAATCTTTATAGGAAAGAAAAACGTTCCATGATTTGCATGTGGGCTGAATAATGTCAGGTTGTCCTGGCCAAGGCAGGTGAATATTCTTGAAGAATCCACAACCGGAGCCTTCGACTAGCCGAAACCCAACCCATAACGCAGCGGGGCGGCATGCGAAAACTGCAATCCATTTGGGGCCGGTGTCCAGTACGTCGGATCATACGGGGTCAAACGTCCAAGGTACCCATCCATCCAGCTTAATCGCGCCCCTATTTCATATGGGCTCTATGTAGTTCACTTCTCCAGGTCCTTCCATAACCGAATGGTATGTCCTCGTGACCATTGCGTTTATTGTTTCTACTGTTTTTAGACAATGATATTCCGCAAAAGGATCTGCTTAATACGTAAGGTGGTTAGGTTAAGCCTAGGTAAACTGAGTGCATTGAATAAAAAGCTCAAATGACAAACTTCATGGGCTTGAAGAAAGAACTGAAGCAATCATGAAATACCATGAGGTGTACGAAACACTCAGGTGAATGATATACCTGGCAGACTTTTCAGGAGGCCCTGACGTCAAGGAGCATTTCAAAGGCCTCTTTGATTGAAGAAAGCAAAATGACAGTCACTGAATCATGAACCCGGGTTAAAAGACTGCTTTTCCCATTTGAATAGCTCCGATCATGCGGCTTTGAGGTATTTTTCATTTAGTACGTACATAGTTAAGTTGTGTTAAATCTTGCTGCTTGTTTTTGACTTCATTTTTCCTACTTATCATTACGTACAATGAAATTTACTTGGGGTTCTTAAACAGCTGTTTTTATTTTACGCATGCTATTTTACATCGGGGTTATCCTTTCAGGTTCACGCCATTCCATTACGAAGCAGTTGGGTGATGACCTGCGCTTACGCGCCGTCCGGTAATTATGTGGCCTGTGGCGGTCTGGACAATATCTGTTCCATCTATAATCTGAAAACACGCGAGGGCAATGTACGAGTCAGTCGTGAACTGCCAGGTCATACAGGCTATCTATCATGCTGTCGGTTTATCGACGACAATCGCATTGTGACCAGTTCGGGCGATGTGACCTGGTGAGTTTGTTGTCGGTGGATTGACTAGTTTATTGGTCTCTTGGTCAGGTAACCGATTGTTTGCTTTGCAATGCATCATACTTTGTTTTTACCCAGTTTTTGCGCTTTTTTCCTCATTGACCTCCTGCGCAGATGCAATCGAAGACTTAATCGCGGACATTTTACAGCCGGAGCTAAAGAAGAAAGTACACCGATTATCAGCTTCGACCAAAATTTGGTAACGTGATGTTGGTTGGCTCAGGTTACTCGAACAATCTCAGTGGAAAACTGTGTTGTTAAGGTCACCGGGTTGGAATGCATTGAGATTTACCTAATCCATTGCTACTCACATGTTTACTTCAGGGGGTTGGTGTTTTTTTCACAGTACTTGGACAAGAGGATAAGCAGAGTATTTTTCTGGTGTGAATTTATCCTGATGTAACAACTTTTAGTATCTGGACAATGTACTTCTCGATCGACTTGTATTTAAGCAAATGGTTTGTGCAAATTTTGAATTAAAGTACCGTAGGTTGTGTTCTGCAACAGCTAGACTTTCTGAGCACGGTTTTGGGAGACTAATAGATTAAAAAAGATACAGAAATTTTCCGTCTAATCCAAACCGATATTCTCTAAAAATTACTTGAAGGAGCTAGGCAAAGGAAGTCAGTTAATGCCATTTTATGTCCAGGGCTCTTTTCTAGTGTGAAAATGAATACACTTCGCTGGCATTTTGTTTTCTTATCCACGTTGGAATCTGTCAAAAATGTCCATGGATGATCTCGTGAAATGTTTTGGTGTTTGCACTTGTGATTGTGACTGTGGTGGCACATTGATGCTTAATTTTCTTGTGTTACTGTGCTTAACTGGGTCATATGTTATCCGCGTGCTGCGCTCCAATATTTCGCAGCCGTGATCCACTGATAACAGACACCACTCAATCTAATCAGATATCCGTTTGTTGCATCGGTACACTTGATTTATCCACATCGTTCATGATTTTCTTTTCACGCTGACTGCGGTAGCCATCAATGGCTTCTACCGCAAGATTACAACAGGTGGACGTCAATTCGTCTTTGGAAGTGAGAACAACTCTAATAGATGGAAAACCTTTCCATTCACTTTTATTCTGGTATTACTAAAGAATTAGTTTAATCAGTGTTACCTCAAGTTAGTTCCTGAGAACTGTACTTGATCACTTATCCGCAGTAGTGAAAACCAGACTAGCCTTAGACTTTCAGTGTGTATCACCCATATTTTCATTCTGTCATACCCTTAAGCACATGCACTTCATCTGTGAAACCGTCATTCGTCTCCCTTGATCTAAGGCGGCCATTGATTCTCTCGGCCACAATATACTCTGGAAATGACTATGCTTTGAAGGTTTGTCCGAGAAGTCATTGGGTTGTAGATCTTCACCGCGTTCCAATAACTGAAGATGAGTTTATGTTTATAGCTCCTTTTCATCCGATGGCGTCATAAGACTAAAAGTTCGTCAAAATTTTCCCTTCTATTTTTTTTAACCTTTGTAGGATTTTAGGGGTTGTCTAATTTCGTATGAGAAAAATGGTCTTGATCTGCAATGAGACCTTCGCAACTTGAGGCTTCATTATATATTGTACATTTTAACAGATAAAATTCCTGAATACATTAAGTTTATTCAGGTGGAATAATTCCCAGAGCTGCCAAATCATTACCTGATCCGAAGGTATGAGAAACTTTAACCGTCGTTTAGTTATATAGTTAGCATTGGATTTCGCAAGGTCAGACTATCTTCACTGTGAAGTGTTTCTGCTCCATCTGCTCACTATTATATTTATCTACTTTTTCACTATGGATGTTTTCCAAAATTCACAAAAGTTCACATCTGCCTCGACAACACTGTTTACTCTTTGTTGCTCTCAATGGCTTGCAGAACGCAGCAATCAAAGCGCAAAAATAAGGTTGCGAACCTGGGTTTTTCTATCACTTTTTGTTTTCATTGTTTTGCATGTCACTTCGCAATAAAATCTTTTCTGTCACTCTCTACACTCTTCTTTCCCTTTGTTGTAACGTCTTCCATTGGATTTTCGCGTGTAATTGAACGGCTTCATTTTGAGAAGTTCAGCTTATTGGTCATCAGTCATGTTCTTGTTGCTATCTTAACAATTTTCCCGTCATTCGCATTACATGTCCGATGCAGATCACTCCTGTTTGCATTCATGTTTACGTCCCGTGCCGTCTGATTTTTCTCTCATCTTCTCTAGTGGTCTTTGGGATATAGAAACTGGACAACAAATAGCGAACTTCACTGGACATACGGGTGATGTGATGAGCCTCAGTCTCGCCCCGGATAACCGGACATTTGTTTCTGGCGCATGTGACGCGTCAGCCAAAGTACGTTTATCAACCATCTAATTGGTTTATGCTTGTATTGTTGATTGGGGTGAAGTGACCTTTCATTTAGAGGCTTTTCTGAGTTTTCGATCTAATCCTGATCATATTGTTCGTCGAATAACTATTTTTGTCTCCCCCTCACGGTGAATGTTTCGGTTTCAGTCTGAACAGTCATTAAACGTGCACTCTCGTGCTGCGGTTCTGGCCGCCGATTTGGCTGAAGGGGTAGAAGGAAGATGGGAATGTTCAGATCAACATTTGGATGAACATAAAGAACTCACGAAGTCTAAGGTGACAAGGACATAGATTAGATGCACGGATGTCACTGTTTTCGACACTGCGACATCACTCCTCGCCCCTAATAATCTATTTTAGTGATCCCCAGGCCCCATCCAGGAAGACTAACGATACCTTAGTAAACAAGTCTCCTGGTCAAGGTTTTCATTCCCTCATGCTATGTCTGAACTTGACTAACACTTTCGTAAGTTTTTCTTCTGGCACTACATTTTTATCTAGAGTAGTAAAAAAAACTTAATACTCCACTGCACCGATTCGCTTATTCTCTTTTGTATTGCATTGTGTATAACTTTTGCAAGCACAAGCTTAACTTTCATTTAAAAAACTGTGCACGCCAACTGTCACAGAGAACATATTAGGGTAGGTAGAGTAAGTGTCTCCCGTCTTCCGGGTTGGGGTCCAAAAGACTGGATGGTTGGAGACATTGAAGGTCATGGCAGCAAATTGAGAGCAGTGAGGATCTTGCTCCCGTCCCTCAAAATAAGCCTAATCCCTATTTTCCCTACACAGTCTCACCTACCTTGTATGCATTATGAGTTTGGCAGCGGTTAGTGAAGTTCGCCTCACCTTACGTTGTACAATGATGGTGAGATTTCAATGGGCAAAAAAGTGTTTTCAAACATGGGGACATTTCACAGTCCAAGTTTAAGACGAAGTTCATTTGTTTATCTCTTTGTGAGTAAACGTATAGGACAGTGTATAAGCGAATTTCGGTAAGCATTTATACGAGATGAAATTTGGCGGAATTAAGAGTGTGTGGATGTATGGGAACGACAGTGTGTCAGTTCTGCGTGCAATGGGTGGTCAATATCTGTGAGAATCTTCTCCGATAATTAAACACAAGCGGCTATATGACACGGGAAGTTTCACAGTTAACTCATTCACAGGAATAGAAGAAACCCGGCTAATAATCGTTCGACCGCCGCGTAAGACTTTGAAATCCCGTTTGAGTAAGCCAGGAAAAATAGCTGGTAAACAGTAAAGTAAGATGGGGTAAACACTGATAAACAAAGGTAGAATTAACTGACTGGGCTGCGCAAAACTGTCTGAGCTTTCGAATTTGAAATGAAAGGCCCCGCAGTGTACCAAAGCAGTTGTGGATGTGGGTTGGTCCACAAAGGTCGCTGTCTATAGTTACACCAAAATATTTGGCAGAAGTACCCTAGATAAAGGAGTTTTATGTGCCACTGTTGGTTCTGTCGGGTATGAATAGTGTGCAAAACTACATAAACATTCAACATATTTACTGGTGTCTCGACTTAGTCCCGATTGGGAGGAAGATAATTGAATATGACCAATATCGTCGGTGAAGGAATTTAGATTAAAAAAATGGGTTGCCACAACACAACATCTGCGTATTTCAAAACACGTGCATGAGAAACACGGAATATCATAGGTGTACGTGGAAAATAAGTACAGGGATGGCACAGCTCCTTTAATAACCCAGGAGTTGTTAACTAAGGGTCCAAGGTGGTGACGGCGCAGTCCGTTCGTTGATATCACTGGCGTGCTTTGGACCCTAAGGTCCGCTATTCGAGCTCCACCACCCGACTTTGGGGGTTGGCAGGTTTGCTGTTGCCCGGTTCAATGCCACGCCTAAACTAGCGGGATCTTATGCGGTTGTCCATTCAAGATTCCGGGGCTAAGGTTACCGGTCTACATCATCGAACATCCACTCTCCGTGACCATTGGGTTCCATCCCATCTGCTGTTCATCACAAATGTGTGTAATAAGCACAGATGTTTATGCTATGGGGTGAAGACGTTTGGAGAGGAAGATTGGAATGCTTTGGGCATTGGTATGATTGTGACCGGCCTCCAACAGTCTGGGATAGTAGAAGTGTGAAGTGATTCATTTACAATGATTTTCCCAGCTAGGGAAGCATCACCAAATTTGAAGAATGCTAGAGGTAAACCATCCTGGCCTATCATAGAGAACAAACTACGACCATAAAAGTTTTAACACATCGCAAGTTGTGAATGGTTCCACATTAAAAACATTGTGCGACGAGTAGGCAGGAAGAATTTCCGATGACTACCTCAGGAATGCGACTTAAGGTCAGCAACATCTACATCCAGCTTTGTTCGGCTACTGCTATGGGCGCAGCATTACACGTGTGCTGAAACATTCGGATATGCAATACTGAGATTAGGTAATCGCTGTCGTGCGGATATTGTGATAGTTAGACAATGTGGTGCGATTGCAATTGGGAAGATTTCCTCGCATTGCAACCTTTGCGGAACAGGTATTGATCGAAAAGGAGGTCGAGTGCTGATAGAGTATGCATTGGCCATATACATGAACATGTCGGTTGTGCTAGACTTCCCTATTTGTGGTCACGGGAACAGCCTTATCTATGGTAGCAAATATTGCAAATGGCGGAGCTCGCTTCCTCAGCATCTCTGGTTTCGTCACATTCTGCATCTTTATCTTAGTAGAAATTTCAACTTCTCCTGTAGTTTTACCCTTTTTGTTGTCACTCGAAATCGGTAGTCGAGGGACCACAATCCAAGTGGGAGCACGAAACTGTAGAATCAGTGTTTTTTATATTAGTGATTAGATTTTTTATAATTGTCAGCTCTATGTGCTCTATTGGAGTTCTGCTCTATAACGGTTTTCGAATGGGCGATATGCCACATACCTGAACACTTATTTGTGGATGGAAGTATGTGGAGGAGAATCCTGTCATGAGATCGATAAAGTTCTATTACCTTTTGAGTCTGTCGCCACTGAGTCTTATCTATAAAGCAAAGTGTAGGCAGAAAGCACCAGTGTTCAGTGTCTGAATAAACGATCGAGACATATCATCCGTCTGAATGCATGTACATAGATATGAGTACCTGAATTGGTTATTAAGAAGTTTGTATGTGTGCATTAGGATTACTCTATCATTGTGTGTTGTGTTGATCGTTATCTTGCACCCAACTTCCATGATGCTTACATATTCACGTACATAACACGTGCTTTGAGACCTATCCATGGAGGTAACACTAATGTTTTAGTTTTTAACCTCCTTTTTTTGTTCCAATATCACAGACCTATCCAGCATTGCAGCATTGTGAAAAACTGATTGTCAAACATCGACCACCTTTTATTCCTTTTGCTTTCCTTTATTGAACATATAATAATGCAAACGATCATCGGAATGGGAAAACAGACTGTCATGGAGAAAGTTAGGCGGCAATGGCAGGACTCGAACAAGTTCTCCATGGCTACCTGTTAGTGCTTTAGCCGCTTGACCACCTTTCTTCCCTCGGTCTTCTATCTCGAGTTGACTTTCTGTTGATAACTGAATCGAATTTCAGGTTCAACTGTTGTTTTCAAGCGAGAACCATATAGTAATTCGATTCTTATGTCGAAGGGTTCAATCAATGGCTCCTTATGTTCCGATGAATTGTTTATCACTTGCCAGTTATCATGTGCTTATATTGATAATGTGGGTCCCTCGTGTTATCCGATCTCACTGCGTTCAGGATGAGTGACAAGTTACCCCTGGCTACACGGAGCTAACGGCATTCTGGCGATATATTACTTTAACTTTGGCCTCCGTGCTCGTTGCATGGGCTTTCAGCATTTCGTTACAGTTAGTTGGGGAATAACGTGCTCACAAGACTCGAAAGTGACCTTTATGATATAGCTAACGCCTCCTGTCCTTTTTCTCTTTCGGGCTTTCTGAGGGCGTTCCGGAAACGCCCAAACTATTCGCGTGCGAACAGCTGTTGCGAGGCGTTCCTGTTTCGCTACCTCTCAGACTGCCTGGTGCATGTAGCTATGCCACTTCTCATCCCCTACTCCCTCTCATCCTCTCGTTCCATTTCATCTCAAGCTCCCAAAAACGCGTTGCTGTCGTTCCGTATTTATGAAAGCTGCTGTTGTCATGGTATTGTTTGGGGCGTTTACATGTTCGAATCTTCACTTCGAATTTAACAGCCGAAGCTGGTCGACGCGCGACCAACCGAATACATACATGCAGTTGAGGGAGTGGGCTAACGAAGTAGATAGTTTAATGCTGATGAAAGCCAATCGTTTCCTCTGTTTGCTCTCATGTGTATGCACCGCGTGTACACTCGTTGCGCATGCGCTCTTTCTCCCAGTCGAAGTTCACGTGTTGTGCCGAACCTGCTTCATCTTAGTGTTTGTGCGTATGTGTGTGTAGAAACCAGTCGTTGCAGTAGAATTTGTGCCTATCGTCTATATTATTGTATCGTCCTCTCACTGGTCGATAGTCTCTCGATAGGCCGCCGTTTCGGGTCTGAGGGCAATTTCGCGCGATTCAGAACGCAGACATCCGAACGCACCGACACACACACACAAACTTGTTTACGGGCTAGTTTGGCTTGCGTGCGTCCGTACACCCAAGAGAGCGGCAGTGGCGGCGGCAACTGCTTTCGATCTCTCCTGTTTCGACCCCATTGATCGCACGCGTGTCCGACTGCCCGCCAATGAATTTGTCTGTCTGGCTGTCGTTAACTTGCTTACGCCCGTGTTATCTGTTTGTATGGCCGGCACGCTTGCCCATATGTGTGTGTGGGTGTATGTATGCCTGTGCGTCCATCCGTCTTCTCTCCATCGCCCTCAGCGCAATAGCCCTCTGTCCTCGCTCGTTCACCTCGACCAAGGTCGCTGAGTGTAATTGGATCTCTGCTTGTACGTGCATGCATACAGACTAACATTTGTATAGATTGGTGATGCGTGCCTACTCC